GATAGAATAGTTAAGACTAATAAAAGTAGTTTTAAAATAGAAAGAGTTTATTATAGATATTCTAATTAGAGAAATAATAGATAATACTTATCAGCAGATTTTTAGAATTTCTATTTAAATTTCAAAAATATTTAGCAATAAATAACTTTTGATCCATTGGTCTATTCTTAACAAAACAACTACCAAAATGTTCGTCTCGATAAGATAATTCTAATAAGTCAAAAGTTGGTAAAATTTAATCATAGAATACAAAATCATTAATGATTTGTATTATTTCGGTATTTTAGAATTGGTTTAACCAATCTTAAAACATCTGAAATAACCTAAATTGTTATTGATCTTGGGATCCTGTAATTGGATTTTAACAATTTTGAACTTATTAGAATCATCTCATCGAGACGAACATTTTAGTAGTTGTTTCATCGAGAACAGACTGGTGGATCAAAAACAATTCACTATTAAATATTTTTGAAATTTTAATAATAAATTCTAAAAATTTGCTAATATGATAACAAAAATATATTATAGCATAGGGTGAATATCTAGTAAGAATATAGACAAAGTGGTTAGTAATAGTATAGATAAAAAACAAATAGATTGGAGAAATTTGTAAAAAGTACAAAGAAAAGAGATAGATTTAAGTGTAATAGTTTTAAAAATAGTCAAAATTGGGTATTCAATATAAAGTATATAAATGAGCTACTGCCAACTCTTAACAAGCTAAATAGAAGAAGCCCAAACCTATATCTAATAAATATATATTTTGCATATCATAAAAAAAAGAAAGATTTAGCACATCTAGCTACATGCGAAATATATAAAAGATTGTAGAAAAGAATAAAAAAAAGAAGCCTTTAAGAAAGCCAAGACCAAAACTAAAAATTGGCTTAAGGAAAGAAGTAGCAAAACTCATTGTAAAAGCACCAAGAAAGAAATAGTAGGTTCAACTCAAGAAGAAAGATATAAAACTAAAATTAGTTGCATCAGAGGAATAAATTAGCCTCATCTGAATAAAGACAAAATAAAGATAGCATTGAGATAGAGATACTTTTTAATATTACAAAAATAATTTCAAAACATAATTTGGATTCTAAGATATAAAGCTCTAAATAAATGAAAACAAAACAAAAGGATTACAAACTAGCAAAAAAGAAGTAACCAAAAAAACATTTTTCAAGTAAAAAGAAAGAAGACAAAAAGACAAAAGGCTGAAATAAAACAGACAGAAGAGCAGGTTAGAAAAAAAAACTCTAGAAAAAAGTAGAAGAAAAAATCAGAAAAATAGTTCTTTTTAATAGAAAATCAAAGTAAACAGATCTCTACAGACCACATAAACAGAATTTGTAAACACAGTTCTGACAAGGCTAGCAACTCTATTCAAGGACCTTACAGAGACTCTTTTAGCAAGTTAAAAGCTATAAGAGAGAAAAAAAGTTGCTGTGGCAGATCACATCTAGACACCAAAAAGCAGCTAAGTGGGTTTTTATTAAAAAAAAAGCGGGTGTAGGCAGTAGCTAAAAACCTTTGTATATATATTGATACATATCTCTTATATAATAAAGGCAGGATTGCCAAAAAAAAAAACAAAAAAAAAACAAACAAATCTAAATACACTACAAGAACTAACAAAATTAAATATTAAGCCCAAAGCTTCTATTGCTAAGAGCTTGTATCTATTCAAATTAAACAGTTGGAAATAGAAGTTTATTTAAATCTAATATAATAAAAATAGGTTTAGACAAAAATGTTACCAGTTATCTTCACTCTACTATATAATAGACAGTGATATATTTTGTCTTCTAAGCAAAATCTATGAGAAGTGAGATCTTTTTGAGATTCTTTTGTACAATAAATATTAATATTTATTTAAAGCTAGAAGTGGCTTTTGTGATAATTTTTTATTAGTAAAATATTACATTATCAAAAAGTACTTTAAAGTATATAAATAAGTTATCTAGGCAATTGATTTATATTAGCCAATCAAACAAATATCTAACCATGATTACAAATATATATATACAGATTTTGAAAATTTGGTGATATTTTCAAATAAAATCTTCAAAATTGTACTAATTATATTAGTAAAATTTGTGATTATTTCAAATTTATCTGGTTAATTTATTTAGTAATGCTAGTTACAATATTGTATTACAGTACTTATTTTTATAAAATCTTACTTTTTTTTTTTTATTGTGATAGTTTGAAAATTTGTATTAATACTCAACAAGACCTTAGAATCAAAGATCCCAAAATAGTTTTTTAAGATCCCAAAATAGACAAAACTTTTACTAGTAACAATGTTAAAGGTTTGTTTATTAATATAATAGTTAAAATGCTATTTACTTTTATAGAGCCTTTGCTTTTTTTTTTATTAAAAACAGTTTAAAAATTTGTATTTACATTTAGCAAGTCTTTAGAATCAAAGATTCTAAAATGATTTTTTAAGATCCCAAAATAGACAAAACTTTTACTAATAATAATGTTAAAGATTTGCTTGTTAGAATAATAGTTAAGGTGCTGTTTACTTTTTATGAAGCTTTTGCTTTTTTTTATGATAATGGTTTGAAATTTTATATTTATGCTTAGCAAAACCTTGTTTTAAAGATCATTTTAAAACTCTAGAATAAGCAAAGCTTTTACTAATGGTTATATTGAAAGTTGCAATGTAAAATTGCAAAAATAATTTATTTTAAAAAAATCTAGATACATTTGTACAGTGATTTCAATATCTAGTAGAGCTGCAGACATTAGAATATCAATGAACAAATACTATGACGTTTGACGTGACGTATGTGACGTGACGTTTAATATGATTATATATAAATTTTATATGACGTAAAGAGTGACGTACTACCTTGGACCTTCTAAATGTCTGCAGTCACGAAATAACGGCATGATGTTATTTAGAGTAATGGCCCGAATTAGGCTTAATTTAGGCCAAAATTTGAAATTATATCCCTGCGCGTATTTTGCGGCAATACGATATTTACCATTATTACATTCGGTTTGTGGATATAACCCAATTTGATCAGTATTATTTTAAACTGGTAGGCAACCCAGATCTTATTAGGGTCCAATCTCTAACTGCGGGTATCCGTGGATACTCGCAGATACCTCCAGATATCCGTTAGGTTATCCCTTTGGAAATTGGCGGATAAGGGTACTTACCCGTGAAACATTTATAGCCTCCGGATATGCAATTAACCGTACGAATATCGAATATGCGATTGATGGGTCCAAACTCTTAATTTTATATCAAATAGATAGTCGTATCTACGTATAAATATTTACGACTGATCGACTAAGTGATTATCTGAGGGTTTACTTTACCACATATCGATGCATTTATAGCTTTTTGCCAAAAAAAAGTATTGAAAATGAATTCAAAACGGTAATGATGATCAACATATATATGTACGATAAATAAGTGTCGCAAGAAATAAAATAAATTGACAATTGAAAAAAAATAATTTTTATTTTGTCAAAAGGTATCTATTTAATATAAACGTTAAACAAAAATATAGTAATAGAAACATTAAAGGTTTATAGATAAAAAATGCATGCCCCTAAAAAATATAATGTAATATTTATGTTTTCGGCCAGAAAAAACATATTTAAGGTTATATTATTAATTATCTTATTATTGAACATTGCCAACATTGCCTTAAAACTGGGAGAACAAGCATTTATAGAATCAACAGAGGTAAAAAGCTTTTCTAAAATATTTTAAAAGATTATATATTAAAAACTAATGGTCTCAAATATAGGAAATATCTAATGTTTATAAGAATACTATTCAAGAGAATATAATTAATTCATCACTTGAAACTCCATTAACGGAGGATGAAAAGATCAACCTGAAATATTGTCAAGAGAAAACATGTAAATTCGTGTTTCCATATTTTCATCCAGAACAAGAAACTCGCGCCAATATTCATACTCGCCTTTATACACAGCTAGCTCAACCTCTAAATCGTACAATAGTCCTATCAAATGTCGGCCATTCGAGAGTCCAAGCATGTTCTCCATATCCATTCGACTTCTATTATAATATGAAAGCATTTCAAAAACTGTATCCAGGCACTCAATTTATAACTCAAGAAAAATTTTTAAAATGGATACAAGAAAGAAATATCAAACCAATTGCGCAACATTTTTGGATGATTCAAGATGGTAGAGGTGATTATATAAGCTTTCGAGAAAAAAAGGTTATGGGAGTTTACAAAGGAGTTGAAATGGGAAGAAAGGAAAAAACAAGATATTGCTTAGATAAATTTGATATAAATATCACGGATTACAAAGAATTTCATACAGGGATTAAAGTATTAGACACCGAAGCAATGTTTAACCTTGTTACAAACACTCTAAAAACTCCACCTACAGCAGAATCTGAAATAATAATGATATTAAACAGGGCACCTAGAGAAATATTTCCATTTATCGATAAAGTAATTCCATATTCACCACGCATTATTAACCAATCTAAAAGCATCATAAAAAAATTGAAACCATATATAGCTATTCATTGGAGAATGGAGCAGGGTGATCCAGAATTGATGCCAGAATGTGCCAAGAAACTAGTTAAAAAGGTGAAAAAAATTCGGGAAAAATATGGAATAAAAAATGTTTATTTTGCAACAGATTATCCACTTAATGGTGGTAAACCTCAATCACAAACATTTCATGAATTTTCCGAATTTCATAAAGAAGCTATTAAAATATTTGAACATATAAAATTCGATACATGGGTTTCGTTGGATGGATTCTCGCAAATTAGAAATGATTCAAAATATAGAGCAGAATTTAGAGGTTCTGGTATACATGGAATACTTGATAAGTTAGTTTGTATAAATGCAAAATATTTTTTAATGGGACCAAAAGGTTGTGCTAGAACAATAAGTTCTTTTACAAGTACCATCGTCGAAGAAAGAGAAAAGTTGAAGGATAAATATGATTTGATCAATGTTGTTTCTAAATGGTAAATAACGACTTACATTGATACTAGCATTATAGTTATACTGTATTTAATACAGTATCACAATTGCTATATTTCAAAAATTAGCTAATAATTAATACTTAGTATAGTATTTTAATAAAATATTTAAAATATTTAAAACTTCTAAAAATTTTATTCTAATTAAATTTTAATCTCTAATATAGTTAAACCTTTTTAAGTATATACTGTATATTTTTTCTAAATATATATCCTTTTCTAAATGTATATAACGGTTTGGTTTCAAGTAGTGCTTCGGTCCGCAATCCGGCCAATTCGGATTGATCTGATAATTCGGATTAAATGCGGATATCCTTATCCGTTAAATTTAAACGGATAGATCCGTAATATATTTAGGATTGAAGATGAAGATTATTCGGATCATAATTCTTATTAAATTAACACATGATATACCTGCCATGGTTCTGATTTGGTCGATGCTGATTGGCAAAAAAGTGGGATTTAATTATGAACGACATTAACCATGGTAATAAAATTTACGCCAATATTATACACTCTGACCTAACTCTATTAAACAAATTTTGAGGCATCGATTTTATAATAATCAGTTGCTGATAGAAAAAGATCAATTGAATTTCGCAGAATAAAATTTGGAAATCTTATAAAAATTTCCGATTTTCATTTGCGAAACTTGCGAAAACTTAGTTTTTGCATATCATATAAATTGAGCATAGAAAAAAAAAGCTTATTTTGTGAAACATTCGTTTCGAAACCTTCGTCCAAAAACGATCTCAATACGCGTGAAATATTTGTTTATTGTGTCATATTTTAAATTATGTCATTCTCTAGATAAATTTTCATATTTATGTATTACAATCAATTCGTAATTATAGTTACAAGCGGAATTTAGTTTATCCGTTTGACAAAAACCTGTAACGGTAACAACGGTAACAGTAAGTAAAAATTAATTTATTAAATCCTAAGAATTGTGATATTCTAGTTGTCCCACAAAAAATTGTTCACCCCTGTAATTGGTGACATATAAGGGGATGTGAATTTTAACCATGTTACACAAAACACAGTGAATTCCCTTGTTTCATCCCTAAAATTCACATCCTTAGTGTCACATCTATTAAAAATCTATTAATCTCCTAATAATTGTCGAGTGGACGACATTTCCATTTTAGGTTAGATTTACAGTAAATTGTTTCCATTTTAGGTTAGATTTTACATGGGATAAACAAATTCTGTGGGAACGCTACCTAGGCCATTCTTCAAGGGTTAAGTTCAGCGCAGTGGAATTTTAATTTTTACTTATGGGTTTTCAACTGTGCAGCACTCATTTATTTAATTTTCCCGATGCACATACGTATTTCTGATTTTAGTTGCGGGAACTCCAAAACTTGCCGCAAACTGCAATCTACAGACTCCGCAACTCAGGCACTTGCAAAATTTACCTATATTTATGTTTGCAACTAAAATGTTTATAATCCGCAAGTAAAATTTTTTTTATTTAGTTGCGGGTCCGTGTTTAATTTAAAAATCAAGAAAAGTATAACTTAGGGATGTGCCTTGCGCGCGATAGACTAGCATATATTTTATATATTATGCGATCTCGCGCGAGATGTGAAGTAGCTTCATATTATTAAGCTACCAATTGCTAAACCTTTCTATTTACCTCGCGCGATGCCTACGTAGCCGGTCACGTCAATTGTAAATTTCTGCTTATACTCAACTATCCGGGATATAATTAAAAAGCTTTAACAAAGTTGGTTTAAAATAGTATATCTGTGCATTTTGAGTATCTTATTGTTACTATCATCAGGTCAAAGTTACAGATAGTTTGTATGCCAAAATTTTTACGAGGGTAGAGTGAAAGGTAGTTCCTTGGACGAAATTTCAAGCTACAAACACTCCTTTTTTTTTTTTTCTTGAGAAAAATTTATTATTTCGTGTTATTTATACAATTTAATCAATTAGATGGATCAAGCACTAAATAGAAAGTTTTCAATTATTTATTTGAAAAAAATAGCAAATGTACATGTTTTAAGTTAACAGAATTTTTCTATACTCTAACTCTAACACAAAGCCCTAACCTATCCTTGTTATTAAAATTTTAAAAATAAAAATGAAATACCAAATTTACTTAAACTCTGTTATTACGTGAGTTCGAAAAATGTTCATTAAATTAAATGTAATTTTGATATTATATGTCGATTATATTAGTTGGCATTAGTTATTAATTCTTCATTAATGAAATATAAATATTAAATATTAATATTTCATACAGTAATTACCAACGCGACACAATGTTTTTTATCCTCGGATTCCCATCTCTCATCATTGCCATTCTTGCTTGAATAATTTTTCCAGTAAAAGAGCTACGAGTCCTACAACATCCTTCTGATCCAGTAACAAAATAATTTGATAAAGCTAAAATCAATTTATCTATAATTCCTTGTACGCCTGCACCTTTGAACTCTTTTTGAATTATTTTATTTAATTCTGGAAATTCATCAAGATATTTTAGAGAGTTTGTAGACTTCCAAGTATTCAAGTACATTGAAGAATTCAAAATTCTCACTGCTTCATGATGTTCTTTCGTTACTGCATGAAATGTGGATGATTGGGCTTTTTCCATACCACCAATAGGATAATCAGTAGCAAAATAAACATTAGATATTTTGGTAGTCTTTTTCGTTGAATTAATCCATTCCGCAAGCTTATTTGCACATTGAATCAATGGTTTGGTTACGCCTGTTTCCATACGCCAGTGAATTCCTATATAAGAATCAAGTTCGTTTGCTACTTTATTAGCAGCATTTATAAGATGATTTGCATATGGAATAAGTATATTTTTTTTATTCGCAAATAAATGAGATCGAAGGTCGTGATTTATCAATAATACTTCTGTATTCATATCTAATTGTGAGATCAAATATTTTTCCATAATTAAATTTGATGATTTGTTAGTTCTCCATAATCCCATTGGTCCAATGTTGACATTCTTGAAAACCATGTTGTCATCCATTTTTAATTGGAATTTACTGAGGCATTGTTTTTTTAATAAGTTTTCTACAAAAGGTTCTACAAGATCAAAGGTATTTGGTTGTTTTTTTTTGTTAATATTAATGTATATATGGGATGTATCTGGTTTGTTGCGACGCTCACGAGTCCATCGTTGGAAGTCTGCTTGTGATATGAATTTCATATTTGGAAAATTTTCTTGTAATACATCTATGTTATAATAAAAATTGTAAGGCAATTGCTGACAAGAACCTATCCTAGATTGTCCAACATTTGTTAAGACCACTGTACGATTAAGTTTCTCAGCGAGCTCAGTGATTGTCTTGAAATGAAAATTTGCTCGTGTCTCTTGTTCTGGGGGTCGATATAAGAATAAGAATCTACAAATATTCGATCCACAATATTTTTGGTTTATTTTTATATCATAATCAACGTCATTTAAATAATCATTATTTAAATCGTTGGATATGTTATTATCATTATTTTCATTATTTAATATGGCAAACAAATCATAAACCTGCTTCTCATATGTGATGCTTAAGTCCTAAAAGAAATTAAATAATTAAGTGATATCTCGAGCATTAAACTCAAATTCATTAAGAAACTCACATTATATTCATTTCTCATTAAATCATTGTGAAAAGTTGATTCTTTATTCAAGTCGAGAAACTTCTCAACGTTATCGTGATTCCGAAATGTTAAGATGGTGAAAATTAAGGAGATAAATGCAATCAAAATGATTGACTTAATCTTTTTTATCCAGATGTAATTTATATAATATATAATATAACGAATAAAATAATAATTATATAAAAGATTCATCTTTTTTGTAAGATTTTTTTTTTTTTTTGTTCACGGATAACATAAAGAAGGATTTTTAAATTAAATTACGAATTTCTTTATTTCCTTTTGCATGTTTGCACTGTCTAACAATAATTTGTACAGCATATACAGTGCATATTATTATGTTTAACAAATGTTTCTAAAATAAATATCTTATCATGATTACTGTACATTGGTTCAAGCCTTAAACCAATGTAATCGTGATAAGGTTATTTTAACTATATACGTTATAATTTTAGAGTGGACCGGATATTCGATGGATAAATGGATAAATGGATAATGGATAGGAATACTAATTATTTAAGTCGAATTCAGTTCTTAAAAAGAGCATTTGGGTTGTATAGTGATTTAAATAATCTCTTATGAATTACTTATCAGTTATTTATCGTATAAGCGCGAATAACGCTCGTGGGCGTTATTTTGAAATTCCGGTCCTTCAAAAATTAACTTGAATGATTTCGAATTAGCGTCCCAAATGAACGCACATCCTAATGTAGCACATAATTTATTGTGGCATATAAGTTTCAGGTTTCTTTCTCACGCACTCAAATGATACGATAAGTACACTTTCCCTATAATGATAAGTGCACATAATTTCATCGGTCTAATGTCATAGATTAAAGTTAATATGGTAAAGCACTATTTTTTTCTATTAACTAGCAATCAAAAAATATATTTTTTATTTAAATATATACCTAGATAATAAAATTTATAAAAAAAATTCTATAATTTATTGAAATTTTTAAATTTTAAAAGCTTAATTAGTTAAAACTGAGTATTTTTTTGGGTTTTACCTCGAAATCCCGAAATCCAAAATCCCGAAATCCAAAATCCCGACAGTACATAAGACAAAATATTGGAAAGCCAAAATCCCGACTAAGACAGAATCTGTCAGGATTTTGGTTATCTCGAAATGGTTGAAAACGGCAAATAAATTTTTTTTTTGGCGTACAATCGGACACCAGGGCTGAAAATACCTAATCATTTTCTCGGCCATGCAGCCAATTGTTTCAAGTGTCTTTTTGATACATTAGAATAATGATTTTATATAATATGAATCAAGAACGATATTTTTGAATGGCCGGGAAAATGATTAGGTATTGGTATTTTCAGGTCGTACATTCAGCACATTGATCGAAGATCGATGTCCGATTGTTCTGAACAACATAAATCGGATATCGATCTTCGATCATAATTGGGTGTACGAGTGTACACCAAAAAAATAATTTATTTGCCATTTTTAACTATTTCGAAACCCAACTTATTCTTTAATTTATATATCTATTTTAGGTTAAAAAAATTAAAAAGTCTACTGTATAAATTTTTAAATTTAAGAATTTTAATATAAAAATTAATTATTTAAATCTTAATTTTTAATATAATTAAAAAATTTATTAATTATAAACTTTATTAACTTATTATTAGAGGTGCATGTAAATCGTCCCAATGATGCCGTAACTTTGCTGTAACATGCCACAACTATATTAAATAATTATAAAAAGTTACGGCAAACATTCCGTAACTTTTATAATTATTTAATATAGTTGCGGCATGTTACAGCAAAGTTACGGCATCATTGGGACGATTCACCTGCACCTAGGGAGTGTGGCACGGTAAAAAAATTTGGCATGCCATAAGGCATGCCACCTGACAAATTTCATGTCAGGATGCCACCCTGGCATGCCAATGGCACGCCATCATATTAACTCATCCAAAACCTCCTGACGATTCACAAATTCTGAAAATTTCGGCAACCTTGCCGAATTTTATGTTCGTCAACGATCCATTATTCTGAATTTTCCGGAAATTGACGCACGCATATATTGATCATATAAGTGGCATGCCTTATATCTACTTTCCTTTAAGGCATGCCCTACGGAATGCCACCCTTGGCATGCCTGTGACCGCCATGCCACACACCCTACCTGCACCTCATAGGCAGACTTTCGTCTGATTGGCTGATGTAAATCAATTGCCCGGGTAACTTATTTATACACTTTAAAGTACTT